GTGCTGTATGTTAATCTGAAAAGGCGGCCTCAATGGTTGGACAAAAATGAGGCTCTGCAACCCACGCCAAAACCTGACTTGCATGCGAAAAAAGTGATGTTGTGTGTTTGGTGGAATTTTAAAGGAATTCTTCATTATGAACTTTTACCATCTAACCAAACCATTACAAGTGCAGTGTATAGTGCCCAATTGGAAAGGTTAGCCCAAGCTTTAAGAGAAAAAGAACCCACGCTGATTAATCGGAAGGGCGTAATTCTTCACCACGATAACGCACGACCGCATACTGCAAGAATCACTGCTGAAAAACTGCGCCAGTTGGAATGGGAAGTTCTCCCTCAATATGCATATTCTCCTGATATTGCCCCTTCCGATTACCATTTGTTTCGTTCTTTGCAAAACTTTCTTCTTGGAAAAAAATTTAATAATGAAGAATGCCTCAAAAATGCATTGACCGAATTTTTTGCATCAAAATCACAAGAATTTTACAACAGAGGGATTAAAATGCTTCCTGAGCGTTGGGCACAAGTAGTAGAAAACAACGGCAACTATATTGTTGATTAAATTTTGTTGTATTGTTTAAATAAATTCGATTTAAAAAAAGTATTAGAAAACGACATTAATTATTACTAGACCTAATATTACTTATGATGAGAACATGTTGGTTGATTTACTTTTAAAATAATGTTTACTTTTAAATATAAACTATCCCTATATGCATTTTCAATTTTGATGGATATTTTGCCAAAAAGCTCCTAAACAATGCATGTGAATGCCAGTTTCTATATGCACTCACAAAAAGCAAATCATCAAACTCTGCTCTTTGCTAGACTGACAGGTGTTCTGTTATTTCAATGTATACTTCTAAGTCTTACTACAAGTGAGATTCAGCCATTTGTAGTTCTTTTAAAAAAATATATATTTTATTGATTTTTCACAGAGAGGAAGAGAGAGGGATAGAGACTTAGAAACATCGATGAGAGAGAATCATCGATCAGCTGCCTCTTGCACACCCCCTACTGGGGATGTGCCCGCAACCAAGGTACATGCCCTTGACCGGAATCGAACCTGGGACCTTTCAGTCCGCAGGCTGACGCTCTGTCCTAGGAGTGTCGAACTCAATCAGAGAAGGGGCCAAAATCTAAAATCCAGCCTAAATCGCGGGCCGAATGGTTTACTGAACAGTCATAAACTGTCATTGTGATGGAAACGCAGCGGAGTGCAGTGATGACAGCGCGGTTCGGGCCACATTGCAAGGCCTGGCGGACGGATTTGGCCCGCGGGCCTTGTGTTTTTGACACATGTGCTCTATCCACTGAGCCAAACCGGTCCCGGCCAGCCATTTGTATTTCTTTCTTGAGAAGGGCCTGTTCCCTGCAGAACCCTTTTAAGACAAAAAAAATTCTGGGAAGAACTTAGCATACTGCTGTGGGCTCCTTTTTTGAAGCAAGAATATTCTACATATGAAAATGACTTTCAATTAAAATGCTCATTGCAAAAGAGCATCTTGTACTTAAACTTATAAAAAATTTAAAGATAATCTCAAAATTGAAACATCAAAGTAAAAATTTAAAATCTCCTCAGACCACTCCACATCTCTACCACAAACTTTCCCTCATTCTCTTGTTTGAGAAAAACTAGTTGTGCCAGAAACTTTCAGGCTGAAATTTCCTATCATGGAATGACCCAAGCCCATTTTTATCAACTATTTTAATCTTTCCATTTCTTGCCACATTTCTTCTTTTTAACAGAGCTTGCAAGCTCTTGCATTTCTCTAATTTCTGTTTTTATAACTTACTCTTCCCCACTTAGCAAACCTCACTGGCTAGGTTTATTAAGCTGAAGAAAACCTTTTCCAACAAGCTTTTGATCATGAAGTCTACTCATGACGTCTGTATTCCATGACATCTGCATTCCACTCTCGGCACTGAACCACCAATATGAATATTATATGTGCCAGTATTTGTTTGTGAGTTAGTGTAAAGGTTATCTATTTGCTTTACTTGTGCATATATCCCATCTTCCCACCTGAATTCTAGAGGTCTCTTCATTATTATTATTATTTCTTTTACATTTTAAAATATTCAACCAAGGATTTTATTCCATTGATTTTAGAGTGGAAGAGAAAGAGAGAGAAATATCGATGTGAGAGAAGCATATCAATTAGTTGCCTCCTACATGTGCCAGGCCAGGAAGAAGTCTGCAACCAAGATTCATACCTTTGACTGGAATCAAACTCGGGGCCCTTCAGTCCGCAGGCTGATGCTCTATTCACGGAGCCAAACCAGCTAAGGCATCATTATCCCATTTTATAAAATAAAATCTACCAGATGTCTAAGTAGCTAGAGTTACCATTAGAAACCATGCTGTGCAACTATTACTACCAAACAAACTGTAAGTTGCTTTTGTTGGCTTAATTTCATTTTAATTTCTGCTGGGTGGATTAATTTACCAGGGAAAGCAAGCTCTGCTTATCTTCACTGGAAGTCATGTTTGCTTGCACATGCAAATATAGGATTTATGCAGATTGCAGGCTCCAAACCTGGGTTGTCTGGGTTTGAATCTGGCCTCTACTCTTATGCCATTTGGGACAGTTGCTTCATGTCTCTGACAACATTTAAAAAAAAGATATATTTTATTAAATTTCTACAGAGAGAAAGGGATAAGGATAGAGAGCTAGAAACATTGATGAGAAATATCAAATCAACTGCCTCCTGCACACTCCCCACTGGGTATGTGCCTGCAACCAAAGTACATGCCCTTGACCAGAATAGAACCTTGGACCTTTGAGTTTGCAGGCTGATGCTCTATCCACTGAGCCAAACCGGTCAGGGCAACATTTAAAAAAATATGTATCTTTATTGATTTCAGAGAGGAAGGGAGATATAGAAACATCAATGATGAGAGAGAATCACTGATTATCTGTCTCCTGCATGTCCCCTACTGGGGATCAAGCCTGCAACCCAGGTATGTGCCCTTGGCCAGAATCGAACCCAGGATCCTTCAGTCCACAGGCTGACGCTCTTACAACATATTTTTAATCAATTAAATGGTAATTGTAATAATTCCAAACTCACAGGGTTTCTGTGAAGATTAACTGAGATAATCAAGGTAAAGAATTTAGTATGGTGCCTACAAGAACATAAGAACTAGCTTTTCAACAAAGTTTCATACAATTTATTCTTTAAAGCTAGGTTAACTTTCTCCTTTCATCTTATACAAGTACCTTTCCTACCCACATGAACACTAGGGTTTAGACCAAATTATCACCTACAATTCAATACCGAATAAAAGCAGTGATTTTCATTCAGTGTGACTCAAAAATTTAAAAAATATGCAATACCTGACTATTTAGTCAGGGGTACTGACCTTTTCCCCCTTACATTGTCAAATAAAAAATGACAACTTTTTTTTGAGCAAACACAACAATAGCCATCTGTTGTGAATGAAATAAAATTATACATTTTTTTGTCAGATCAGCAAAAAATATATTTTTTGGTGTGCTTCAAAATTTTAGTAATTAGTTTGCCATGAGATGAAAAAGGTTGAAAATAGCTGACTTAAGGTAATTCATTATACAGACAAGAATTTACATAACACAAAATATTTTATGTTTGCATATATTAGAACTTACCTCTTAATACCCACATGGCACCATCTATGCTTCCACTTTTTAGAAAAATTTCTACTGCAATATTTACAATTTGACATCTTGACGCTAACTTCTCAGGCCCTGTAAGTCCTTTTAAACTTGTAAAATGTATTTTCAATTCATAGAGCATATCTAAGACCTTCCTTCCCTAGATTAAAAATAAAGAGCACTGAGTATCAATCATTTAGCGTATTACAGAAATAAAAAGCCACACTGATTATAGAGAAATCCAATATCCAATTTGAATCATCATTCTAGACAGACAGTTCTCAAACTGCTCCAAGATTCTACTTAAATCCCTTCCTGCCCAGCCACGAGGGTGGAAGGAGAAGGAAAGCAAGCAGGGCTTTGCTCATATTACCCTCACCTACCCTGGGACCCCTTTCGGCAGTTCTCCCTTCATATGTTTTATACATTGTGCTACCCCTAAAGATTTTACTCAGCACAAGGATTCCATGCCTCGCTGTGGAAAATTACTAATGATAAGTTTTTGCACTTTTTTCTGTTGATCATCCTGAGGTCCAGGAGGGAGACGAAGAGAAAATGAAGACAATTTATTATCAAATTTAGATAAAGATAGTGAGAAAAAAAAAGGATAAGATTGGCTGAAAACTGTTTCTTTGAACAGATTACTTCACGTAGACTACATAAAGATTATCTCTAGTCCGCACATCAGAAATGGGACATATATTATTTTATATTAGGGGTCAGCAAACTTTCTACAGTCAGATAGTAAATAATTTAAGCTTTGCAGGTCACATCTAATCAGTTGTACATTTTCTTTGGTTATTGTTTTTAATGTCTAACTCTTTAAAAATGTAAAAAACACTCTTAGCTCTCAAGATGTACAAAAACAGGCTGTGGGCCAGACTTGGCCCTTAGTTTGCAGACCCTTGTTTTATATTATGTTACACTATTTTGAGTCAGATGTATATTATAATGTTAATATACTTTCAATTTGACAATATAAATAGTGCACTTTTAAGAGTTAGCTGCTTCAGTTTAATTTCAATGATTTTACTTCTATGTTCAAAAAGCTATGTTTCATTAAAAAAACCACTAAGCTAGAATATCTGTTCTACATAAGATAGTGAAAAATTTTAATTAAAATAGAAATTCACCAGCCTCTTAAGAATAATAGCCTATTAAAATTAAAACCTGAGCAAAATCAATCTGTGTTTTTAAAAACTGTCTTTTTGTTAGGTAGTCCTTAATTTCTCAAGCATTAAATGTCCAAGATATTAATGCTAAGATCAAGCTTAAACTAGGTTGTGAGGCCTGGGACAAGGTATATTCTGCCCATCCGAGGCCTACTATACAAAGAGTACTAAACCTTTTTTTTTTTTAATATTATAATATGGAATTCTTCTCATATTTGCATGTCATCCTTTCCTCAGGGCCGTGCTAATCTTCTCTGTATCATTCCAATTTTAGTATATGTGCTGCAGAAGCAAGCACAGTACTAAACCTCTTGGAGACTTTAGAGACTGAGGACCTTCTACAATGATTCTGCTGTTTTTAATTTTAAAAAGCTCATGAATTTTGTATGTGTATAAGTGACCATGTACTTAAATGTCATTGAACTCATTCACTTTTGAAATAACCATTTTACAAGAAGAAGGTAATAAAAGATACATATTAATAGTTGATGCAATAGTGAGCATACTCTCAACTGTCCCACTCTCTATATGTTGCTCCACCCCTCAGCACTTACTCCTCATTTTGGATTTCCTTATCTTCTACTAAGTTTACTAAATATATAATCCTACCCACCACTTCTCAGGGAAATCTAAAGAATGCTAGTATAGCATGGTCGGGAATTACTAGACCACTTTTATGGTGAGCTAAACCTCAAAGGCAGACATCAAGATATACAGAATATAGTATTCCAGAGCATTCTAGGAGGTGATTTTTAAGGAGTTCTATTAATTGCAAGTATCCTGGGTTTATCTTTAAAAAGGTGTCTTGAACTCTTGCAAAATTACAATGTTACTCAGGAGCTAAGGAAATAAATTCTGAATTGAAAGTTGCTTCAAATAAAAATATATAGCACAGCTTCCTAAGTGTATCCTACATTGAAATTCTTCATAGCAGTCAGTCTGATGCCATCTTCTTTCCATATTTGCCTAATATAGCATTTAATAATTCACTTACTGGTCTGGGAGTCATTTAGTCACTTGTGATGATTATTAGCAAATTCCTAACTTACCCTATATTCTGTTCAAAAATTTGAAACTAACACTTTATTAATACCAAGCCAAAACAAAAATTTAAGAAAGTACCTTGGCCCACTGCAACAGCTTGTGATAGAAGTATATAGCACTGATTCCGATTCTTCCCAGCAAAGTTTTATCTACTTCACTATTTTGTGGATCTTTGCTAACTGAAACACAAAGAAGGCATATGGAAGAAAGTGGTATAGTCACTTAAAAATGGAAAAGGCAAGTTAATATGAAATTAATGAAATGAACACAAACACCAGGTGTTGGCAAACTATAGCCACAGTCCAAATCTGGCCTGTGGCCTGTTTTCAGATATAGCCTGTGAACTAAGAATTCTTTAATTTTTAAAAGGTTTTTTGAAAAGAAAAAAAAAAAGTGGCGTAGATCGTATGTGATGTGAGCAAAGACTGAAATATTTACTATCTGGTTCTTTTCAGAAAAAGTTTGCCGGCCTCTGATAAAGAATATAGCAGTGAAGAGTTCATGTAAAAATAAAATTTCAAAAATCTATGAATTTTGGTGACTTGTAATAGTGAAGACTGTAACAATTTTAATGATTTAAAAATTCAGGTGCTCCAATATAATTTGCAAACAACAGTTTTACCAATCTGAATAAAAAGAAAAATAAGAACATGAAACATCTGATATTAAGACAACAATTTTTAACCTTATATCATTAACCTAGCTTAACAATACATAGATGGAAAAATTTATAAACAGAAAAAGTATCTGAAACCTGCAATATTAACTTATTCTCAACATGGAAAACATTAAGAGCTTTACATTCCTATTACGAACATTACATTACCCTAACGCAAAAGACTTACCAAAACAGCGACATTTACCTGTTTGAGCAAATTCACAAAATGGAACATTTGGTCTCTCTTCTTTATAGCCTTTTGTTAGTGTTTCAGCAACACAAGTACAAAATCTCTGGAAATCTACAAATTTTTCACAGTCCATTTTTACCTGAAGGTATAAATTTCCCAATTTGGTCCAGTCACCTTTTTCCTTACAATACTATTAGAATTATTAAAAACAAAACAGAAAAAGAAAGCTGTTATTTATGCAAACATATTATGCAGTAGGCATACACAGGCACTAAATGTATAGAAATTAATAGGACTTAATCTCTGCAAATCTTAGAAAGTTACTGACAGGTGTTACAACATTAATAACATGCTACTGTATAGCTTTTCTAACTATTGCAGAGTCTTTTTTTTCTTTATTTTGAAATATATTTTATTGATATTTTTACAGAGAGGAGGAAGGGAGAGAGATAGAGAGCTAGAAACGTCGATGAGAGAGAAACATCGACCAGCTGCCTCCTGCATACCCCCTACCGGGGATGTGCCAGCAACCAATGTACATGCCCTCAACCGGAATCGAACCTGGGACCTTTCAGTCCGCAGACTGACGCTCTACCACTGAGCCAAACCGGCTTCAGCTATTGTAGAGTCTTTATAAATTCTAGATGGAAATTAGAATTCAATTATCAAGTTCCTAATGTATTTAATGATATCACCCTTAAAATTGAACTAGACAGTGGAGATATATTTTATGGGATTTCTTTTACAAAAGGGGGCTCCAAAGTAAATTTTGGAGATAGTAAATTTACTATCTTACTATTATTTTCTATTAAAAACTAAGAAATAGTTTTCCACACCAACAAACAATTATTTCAAGGATATAAATACTAATACTAGACCAACAAGTACTAGATGAGTACAAAAATTATCTTAAAAAGTAAAATAATCCTTAAAGCCCTCTATTTCTTATACTCTAAAACTTGAACTCTGACAGGTTTGGCTCAGTGGATAGAGCGTCGGCCTTCAGACTCAAGGGTCCCAGGTTCGATTCCTGTCAAGGACATGTACCTGGGTTGAGAGCACATCCCTAGTAGGAGGTGTGCAGGAGGCAGCTGATCGATGTTTTTCTCTCATCAATGTTTCTAACTCTCTGTCACAAATCAATAAAATATATTCAAAAATCCCCCCAAAACTAGAGGCATGGTGCAGGGAGTGGGCCTAAGCCGTCAGTCAGACACCCTTAGTGCTGCTGTGGTGGCACGTTCGCCAGCTGTGACCTTGGCTTCTGGCTGAATGGCGCTCTCCCTGTGCGAGTGCACTGACTACCAGGGGGCAGCATATGCCCTCTGGTGGTCAGTGTGCATCATAGGGACCAGTCATTCCACTGTTTGGTCTATTTGCATATTAGCCTTTTATGCCGAAACTGGCTCTTTTGACATCCCAAAGGGGTCCTGGATTGCAAGAAGGCACAGACTAGGCCAAGGGATCCCACCAGTGCACGATCAGGGCCAGGGAGGGACACGGGAGGTTGGCCAGCCCAGGAGGGGTATAGGGCATGTCTGGCCCATCTTGCTCAGGCCCGATTGGCAGGACCCCAGCCGCAAGCTAACCTATTAGTCAGAGTATCTGCTCCCTCGTGGTCAGTGTATATCATAGTGACTGGTCAACTGGTCAACTGTCTGCCTCCTGGTGGTCAGTGCACATCATAGCGAGTAGTTGAATGGTCTTAACATATCATTAGCATATTATGCTTTGATTGGTTGAATGAATGACCGGACAACTGGACACTTAGCATATAAGTCTTTTATTATATAGAATGCTTGGTGAGTGCATGCTGATCTGGGCTTTCCCGTCATTTTACATACTGTAGCCATCCATGGATCATGACAAGTAAGCCAACTTGCTTGTGCATTGAATGAGTCTGCCATTGATAAGAATTAAAGGCTAAGCTTTAAGCTCTGGTCAGGTAGTTTAGTTGGTTAGAGAATCGTCCTGATAAACCATGGTTGCAGGTTCGATCTCCAGTCAGGGCACATATAAAAATCAACCAACAAATGCTGGAAGGTAGCTCAGTTGGTTGGAGCATTGTCCCATATATCAAAAGATGTTGTTAGATTCCTGTCAGGGCACATAATTTGGTTGGGGGCTCAGTCCCTGGTCGGGGAGTGCATGGGAGGCAATCAGTCAATATTTCTCTCTCACATCAATGTTTCTCTCTCTCTATCCCTCTCTATCTCTCCCTATTCCCCTCTCTCTAAAAGTCAGTAAATCATATCTTTGAGGATTAAAAAACACCAATGAATGCATAAATAAGTGAAACAACAAATCAATGTTTCTTCTTTCCTCTTTCTCTATAAATAAAAAAATAAAAAAAATAAAATAAAGGCTAAGCTCTAGATTATTACATCTTAACATAAGTTAATTTTGAAACTAATTATCTCCAGAATTACTTTCTGGATAGTCTACAATTCTAGAACTTATGTTTGCCTTTCAAAGTCTTAAAAAAAAATTAAAACTTTCTTTTCCTTGATCATTTTTTCTCTGTATAACAGTCACATTTCTAAAACATTTCCTAAAATGGGTTTACTATTCAAAGTTTCTGAGCAATGATCCCAGCAATTTATTTAAAAAATAAGTGTCATACCTTTATTTCATTCAAGGCTAAATCTAAATCACAGGTCCAGTTATTTTTAAATTGCCTCATTTGTAACCTTTAACAATAAAAGAAAGTGTTAATTAAAGTGCCATTTGTCCCTCCAAAAATCACTATTGCTCATAATTGACTTATTTTACAGTTTATATCTAAGAGACTGGAAAAAAATGCATTAATATACTATAAAAATTCTTTAGAGCTAAAAAAATGTCTACTGCATAAATATCTACATCACACTATTTTCTCCTCAAACAATGGGCAACAATAAGGACAAAGGATATCCCACACAAAACCATACCTTAAGCCTAACTTGGAAGTCAGAATGCCAAAGATTCAAAATAATTGTGAATAAAAAGAGAAAAAAACATTAAATCACAGCACTTGATGCCCTTGATCTCTATTGTTCCCATTCCACTTTCACTGCTCTACAAGCAAAGTCAAACCAAAATAAAAACAATGCAAAAAACCAAAACCAAAACCAAAACTGAAAAACAACAACACACCTGTGGGGAGAATAAAAAATGGAAATACCAGAGGGTTCTAACATTGATTAAAAAAAAAAATACCACTACAGCCTGGCTGGTGTGGTTCAGTGATTGAGTGTCCACACCTGAGCCAAAGGTCACTGGTTTGATTCCCAGTCAGGGCACTGCCCCAATTGTGGGCTCAGTCACCAGTGGGGGGCATATGTGAGGCAGACAATTAATGTTTCTCTCTCATTGATGCTTCTATCTATTGCTCTTCCCTTCCTATCTCTCTAAGAGTCAATAACAA